ACTTTATTTTTAGAGGGTCCCACTACTTGATGGTGTCCCAAGACCTGTCACTGCCCCAAATGGGAGGGTGTCAGTCAGCATCTAGATTCAGGCAGACTGGAAACCAGACATTAAGGCAAATATACCTCTTTTAGTGAATCACAGAGAAACTGGCATTTTGGTCTATTCCTTCTGTGCTGAACCCTGTGGTGATAGCCAGTTAAGAACCATTTCTTTGTTACCACCCCATCACCCTGTGAACACAAGACCTCTGGCCATCAAAGTCAGGCTATTAAGGGATGTATACTCTGGGCAGTAGCCTCTTAAGTTTAGGGCACCAGGCATGTGCACAAACTCCTTTCTTAGAGACACCAAAGACTTCGGGATGGACAGAGGAAGAGCGTGAAGATGGCACCTGCTAGCCTCCCCAGCCTCTGAAGAGGATTATAATCGGACTCTAGATGCGTGTTCAATTCAATGTGTGCTTAACTATGGCCCTCAGGCCAGAGCTATGAAGATAACTAATAGGCCTCTTTCACAGAAACATTGGGGGTGCATTTCAGTTTCCTATCTTTGTACTGTGCCCTGTGCGCTGTAGCCAGTCAAGAACTATTTCTCCATTAACTACAGTTATAGTACCCACAAAATTAAGCCCCACTGACCATCAGGTGATCCAACAGGTATCCCTTGGGCAGCAGCCACAGAAACCGTTGCACCAGATGAGTGCACAAGGTCTTTCTGGAAATTCCAGCAACCTACAGTAATGCAGAAGGAAAGCACAAATATGGCACCTAATGGTAATTCATTAGGCCCATAGATGTGTGTTAAATTTCTACTTTCAGAGGAAGACTGGGCATCTCTGTCCACTCCGTGTGTTCTAGGCCCTGTGGGATAGCCTCAGAGTCTGATGAGCCCTTAAGAAAAATTTCCCAATTCCCTATAGCCTGTGGATCTTATGATGCAAGCCTTATCAGCTTTCAAATCTAGATGTCTTATGGGCTTGCCTCTAGGCGCTGTCTTAAAAGCTGGGTTGTTAGACGTAGGACTTAAGCTATTAGTTCCTCAGAGAGAAGCTCAGAGTTACGAGTTCCCCCAAGTTCTGAGAGACCATTTATGGTGAGATTGTGTCTCAGTCTCTCCTACCTGTTTCAATATGGGTTTTTTTCTTGTTCATCTGATGTGTAGCAGTAGCATATTTTTTTTTCCTCAGAAAAAAACTTTTCTATATGTAGCTTAGATTTTCTCAGAAAAAAGCCTTTCTAGATTCAGTGTGTCTATTTCTTGATTTGCATTCCTCTAATGATTAGTATTGACAAAGATTTCTTAATGTGCTTATTGGACACTTATAGATCTTATCTAGAGAAATGTCTCTTTAAGTCCTTTGCCCATTTTTAATGAGACTGTCTTTTTGCTGTTAATATTTATTGTTCCTTATATATTCTGGATATTAAACACTAGGCATATGATTTGAAAATATCTTCTATAGGTTGCCTTTTCATTCTGTTCTTTTTTTATTCAAGCATAACAAACATACGGTCTTATATTAGTTTCAGGTGTACAGTATAATGACTCAACAATTCTATACATTTCTTGGTGCTCATCAAGATAACTGTACTCTTAAACCCTTTTATCTATTTCACCTAGCTACCCACCCACTTTCCTATGGCAGATACCAGTTTGTTCTCTGTGTTTAAAAGTCCATTTATTTTTCTCTTTGTTCATTTTTATTTTGTTTCTTAAATCCCACATATTTGTGAAATCATATGTAATTTAACCATCCCTGACTTATTTAACTTAACATTTTTCTCTCTAGGTTAATCCATGTTGTGGCAAATGGCAAGATTTCATTCTTTTTGATAGCTTAATAATATTCCATTGTGTATGTATACCACTTCTTCTTTACCCATTCATCTATCAATGGACACTCGGGTTGCTTTCATATCTTGGCTATTGTAAATAAAGTTGCAATACACATAGGGGTGCATATATCTTTTTGAACTAGTGTTTTTTTTTTTTCTTTGGATATATCAAATTGTGAAATTAGTAGATCAGATGGCAATTCTTTTTTTTTTTTTTTTTTTGAGAAAACTTCATACTGTTTTTCACAGCAGTTCCAATTGTGTTCCCACCAACAGGGCATAAGGATTCCTTTTTCTCCACATTTTTGCTAACAATTGTTGAGACAGAGAGTGGGTGAATGGGGTGGAGGGGCAGAGGGAGAGAATCTTAAGCTGGCTCCATGCCTAGTGCAGAACCCAATGCAGGACTCAATCTCACAACCCTGAGATCATGACCTGAGCCCGAATCATGAGTCAAGTGCTTAACTGACCAAGCCACCTAGGTGCCCCCTTGTCTTTTTTATTTTAGCCATTCTGATAGGTATGGGGTGCTATCTAATGTGGTTTTGATTTGCATTTCCCTGATGATTAGTAATGTTGAGCATCTTTTCATGTGTTAGTCAGCCCTCTGTACATCTTCCTTAGATAAATGTCTATTCAAGTTTACTGATCATTTTTAACAGATTATTTGTTTTATTGCTGTTGAGTTATATAAGTTCATTATATATTTTGGATAGTAACCATTTATCAGATATATCAGTTGCAAAAGCAAAGCCTTTTTGCTTTGCTGATGGTTTCCTTGATGGTGCAGATTTTTATTTTTGTGTAGTCCTAATAGTTCAATTGTGTTTTTGTCTCCCATTCCAGAGGGCAGATCTAGAAAAATATTTCTATGGCTGATGTGAAAAAAATTGCTGTCTATATTTTCTTCCAGGAATTTTATGGCTTCATGTCTGAAATTTAGGTCTTTGAGCCACCTTTAGTTTATCTTTTTCGTATGGTGTAAAAAAAAAAATGAAAGACAATTATCATACGATCTCACTGACATGAGGAATTTAAGAAACAAGACAGAGGATCATAGGGGAAGGTAGGGAAAAATGAAACAAGATGAAACCAGAGAGGGACAAACCATAAGAGACTCTTAATCTCAGGAAATGAACTGAGGGTTGCTGGAAGGTATGTGGGATGGAATGGATAAGTTGGCTGGGTGATGGACACTGGGGAGGTAATGTGAAAGACGGATAAATCACAGACCTATACCCCTGAAACAAGTAATACATTATATGTAAATTTTTTAAAAAAGATAGTCTCTTCAACAAATGGTGTTGGAAAAACTGGAAAACAACACGCAAAAGAATTAACAGGACCACATTCTTACACCATACAAAAAAAAAAAAAAAATTCAAAATGGATTCAAGATGTAAAGGTGAGACATGGAACCATGAAAATCCTAGAGGATAACACAAGCAGTAACCCTCTCTGACACTGGCCCTTAACAATTTCTTCCTAGATATGTCTCCTGAGGCAAAGGAAACAAAAGCAAAAATAAACTATTGGTACTTCATCAAGATAAAAAGTTTCTGCCCAGTGAAGGAAGTATTCAACAAAACTAAATGGAAATCTTTGGAATGGGTCGAGATATTTTCAAATGACCTATGTGCAAAAGGGTAAGTATCCAAAATATATAAAGAACTTATACAACTCAACACCAAAAAAATGAATAATCCAATTAAAAATGAGCAGAAGACATGACTAGACTTTTTTCCAAACAAGACATACAGATGGCCAACAGATATATGAAAAGCTACTCAACATCACTCATCAGCAGGAGGTACAATCAAAACTTCAATAAGATAACTCCTCATACCTGTGAGAATGGCTAACACCAACAACACAAGAAACAACAGGTGTGGCAAGGATGTAGAGAAGGGGGAACACTTTTGCACTGTTGGTAGGAATGCAAAGTGATGCAGCCACTCTGGAAAATAATATGGAGGTTCCTCAAAAAGGTAGAAATAGGACTACCCTAGGATCCAGCAAATGTACTAGGTATTTACTCAAAGAATACAAAAATACTAATTCAAAGGGATACATATCCCAATATTTATAGCAACATTATGTACAATAGCCAAATAATGGAAAAAGCCCAAGTGTCCATCAACTGATGAACAGATAAAGAGGAAGTGGTATATATATGTGTGTGTATATACAAACTCAGCCATGAAAAAGAATGAAATCTTGCCATTTGCAATGACAAGGATGGAGCTCGAGAATATTATGCTAAGGGAAATAAGTCAGTGAGAGAAAGACAAATACCATATGATTTCATTCATATGTGGAACTTAGAAAACAAAAGAAATGAGCATAGGGAAGAAAAGAGAGGGAGAGGCAAACTAAGAAACAGATTCTTAACTATAGAGAACAAACTGATGGTTATCAGAGGGGAGGTGGGTAAGGGGATGGGTTAAATGGATGATGAGGGTTGAGGAGTGCACTTATGATGAGCTAGCAGGGGTGAGGGAGGGATAGAGAATCTATTTTTAATAAATAACAAGCTAGAAAGACCAAAAAAAAAAGGATTTACTTCAAATAATTGAGTTTGAGGGGGTGATAAAAAGAAAAATTTAGCCATTAGTTGATAATTGTTTTATGGATATGTAAGGTACATAAGGATTGATTATTTCACTTTCTCAACTGTTGTTATGCTTGAAATCTCCCCACAATAAAAACTAGAACAAAACAAAAAAGAAAATTAATATTTAAAATAATGCAGAAAATTCATTAGGGTAAACTGTTTTGAACCTACTTTCCCAAGCCTTTGATCCAACTTCATAACAAAATAAAAACTTTATAAGATAAATCCCATTATTTTAGGTAGTGGTTAAGATTATGGGCTCTGGGGTTCAAACCTGTGGATTCAAACTAGAAGGACACCACTAGATCCAAGAATCCTGAAATTGTTTAACCTCTAGAAACCTCAATACCCTCATTAGTAAAGAGCTAATAAGCACAGAAACAAATTTTAGCAAGCTTTTTTTGTGTGTGTGACAAACAGAAAGAGGATATGAGGCCTGAATGAAACACCTAATAATGTATTAATAGTCACCAAAAGAAGTTCCCTAAATAAGCTATATTATTATCACAGATCTCTGTTTTCTAAGAATAGTGAAACATTATTCTTACATGAATAAATATGCAATATCATGAGGCCTTAGAGTTAGATAGAACTTTTTCCATTTTAAAAATCTACGCAATACTTCATCTGCCTCACCAACTGTAGAAATCTTATTTTTATCTGACCACAACTCCAATGATGACAGCACAACAGTAACTTTAAATTGGGCAAACATCTAAAAACAAAAGAGATAAAGACATGAAAAATTAATCCTTGTTATTTTATAATAACAAAGAAATTAATGCTTGACAATTCCATACTCAGTTTGTATAGATGGCTTAATTATTCAGAAATGCCAAGTGAAGTTAATAGAAATTATAATTTCAAAACTAGTATAAATTTTTCTAACAAGTATGAAAAGAAAAATACTTACCGAATTTACAAGGCCAATAATTTCAATGACTTTATTTGTTACTATCATGCTATCAGAGCCCAAGTAATCATACTGAAAAACAAAATTAATTTTAAATTTAAATATAATCTGTTATGTGATATGTTTGAGATATACTCTCCATCTACTCTCAGAACTTTGAGGGTGCTTTAGGGTTAGAACAGTTCAAACTAAGACAGTAACAAATTTTAAAAATGAATATAAACTTGATCACTCATATATGCTGGTGGAAATGTAAAATCGTACAGCCACTCTCAGAAAGTTTAGCAGCTTCTTTCAAAACAAATAATATATTTACCATATGACCCAGCAATTGCTCTCCTGGGCATTTATTTATATTTTTTAAGATTTATTCAAGAGTGAGAGAACAAGCACAAGTGGGGGTAGGGGCAGAGGAAGAGAATCTTCAACATGGGGCTCAATTCCACAACTGATGAGATCGTGACCTAAGCCAAAATCACAAGTGGGATGCCAAACCAACTGAGCTACCCAGGCCTCCCACCCTCCTGGGCATTTATCCTAAAGAAATAAAAACTGATGCTCGCAAAAAAAAAAAAAAAAATGAACATAAATTGAACATTATGTTCAAAAATGAACATAAATTGAACATTATATCATTGAACATAAATGTTCATAACAATTTATTCCTATTAGTCCAAAACTAGAAACAACTTATATGTCCTTCAGTGGTTAACTGCTTAAACAAACTGCGGTACATTCATACCATGGAATAATGATCATTAATAAAAAGGAACTGACTAAACTATTGATAAATGAAACAATTTGGATAAACCTTAAGAAAATTATGCTAAGTGTTAAAAAAATCTCCAAAGGATATATACAAGATAACATTTATGCAATATTGCAATATTCCTAAACTCAAGGAATAGAGAACAGATTAGTTACTGCCAGAGGTTAAGAAGTGTAGGGGAGTAGGAAGAAATGGATGTGACTATTAAGAAAAATGTAAGAGTCTTGTAGTGATGGTCTATTTAGTGTCTTGATCGTGACAATGATTACACAAGCCTACATATGTGACCCTAGTGCATAAAACCACACACACACACACACACACACACACACACACAAATTAGTGTATATACAACTGCTGAAATCTAAATAAGCTTTGCAGAATGTGCCAATGTCAAATTCCATATCTATAAATCATCTCTCTGAGGTACAGCACCGCTTGCATGTACCACAGGACCCACAAATTCAATGTATCTAAAATGAAGCTCATCATTCTTCCTCAAAAATCTGTTCCTACTTACCTTTCCAATACTTTAATCAATGGTATTATCATCTATGACCTCCCAAATTAATGATACTACATATCATAAGAGTTCCATAAGAGCAGAAGTTCCAAAAGAGCAGAACTTTTTCTGTTGTGTTCACAGCTGTATCCTCAATAAGTAGAATAGTAATTGGCATCTACACAATGCTCAATAAATTTAAGTGAATGGATAAATTAAATCAATTTAAGTCCTTCTAATTCAACCTCAGCAGCAACTTTTAAAATTGCTTTTCTTTTTTCCTATTACTAATACTACTTACTAGTAAATGTTCAGCTTGATAACTGGAACGGTCTCTTAAATGTCTCCAACTATCCTATCAGCAATCCAGTCCCTACACTATTACAAAAATGATGATTCTAAAATGAAAATACCAACCTGTCACTCCCCTATTTAAAATCTTTTTAATGACTCTCCATTAACATTAAGATAAAATCCAAATATCATATTGGTTCTTCAATTTGTCCCTTTCCATTTTTCTTCTTCAACTGTATTAATCATACTAAACTTGCAGGTTGTTTGTTGTTATTGTTGTTTTTAAAGAACCTTCTCTCATATTTATGTGTCTTTGCAAGGAAAAGTTTTGCACCAAGTCTTCCCTGGCCCCACCCTCACTTCATTATCCAAACTAACTAATCCACAAACCATCCCTTTTCAGGATCTCACACTCCAGGCCATTATTCCCCTGCCCTCATCACCCAAAGAGCCAACCAGAGACAGCCCCTACATCCCAGAACCCACTGAAATCATTCAAGCTAGACAACCCTAAACCTGTTTACTTTGCCTCAAGGGTTCTTTCCCACAGAAGTTATAATCCAGTCTCCTGCCCATGTTTTCCACTGGCTCCCTCTGCTTCCTATATATTTTGTTACTTCCCCATGTGGCTTCTGCAGGATGTGGCATACTATCTCCTTTTGGGAACTGTGAGTAACAAACGATCTCTCCAATAACAATTTTGTCTCCTGATCTGTTGGCCCAATCATACGTGAATAATAATAAAACACATTTTAAACCCTCTACTTGCATGCTTTTATAGTACTCCAGGTTATAGCTATGTGTTTCCATGTCTTTCTCCATCATTGGACTGTGTTTTCATACTCCCATATGCTTCCTTCAAGCATAACATTGAATTCACTAGACTAAAATTGTGGATTTAAAATTTGGGAATTCAGTGAAGACAGTATCACTACTGTCCTCCTTTATATGCCCAGCATCTTTAGTAACACAGATGTCACAGTAGGCTCACTGTTTTATTAAAGAAGATGTAAATATGTATAAAAACATAGAAAATGGACGTTAATCAGCATTATACGGCTGGTTAAACCTGACAATTTGAACAAAAGCTTTTAAAACAACTCTTAAAGTTTATAACATAATTCTGAAAAAAATTATTTTTATAATCCAGAATATTCCCTGGAAATTTAGTGATCATTATTATAAATATCTTAATTTTTTCTTAAATGTTCCATTTGTCCCTTTCCCTATATTCTAATAAATCAAATATTTTCATATTCTTCTCTAAATTCTATCTGTCTCTGAATCTCAACTTTGACTTCCTGACAAGCTCTACAATTCTACAAATAGAACTGATAATGTGTTTGATTCATATTCTCTGTAGTATTCCAGAGGTGTAACAATCAAATGTTCATCATCAGAACATAACCTGGAGAGTACATTTTTCCCTATTTTCTGAAATCTCTGAAATATGGAGGAAATAAAGCCATAAGAGGTCCTCAAATAGTTTTTGGGAATCAGGGATTTAGAAGTATGTTTGTACCAGGTAAACAATACACTGGACCAGGTGAACCTTAAAAACTGCTCCAAAAAAAAAATCTTGATACATAAATGTAAGCAGTTCTCATAGTTATACTCTCATCATTTTTGGGTCAATAAAAACTTTATAGGACAAAACATTCCCCAGGCTACATACTGCTCTTCAAGTGCCCTAAAAGCTTAAAGATTTTCACTTAAAACAAATATCATCACTGAAAACACTGTAGAGAGAGTTTCTAAAGATATGAAGCATCAGCCTAAAAATCATTTTGTTATTCAGGATTTTTATTTAGAGATTTCAAATAAAACATTTCTAATAGAAATATGTAATTTTGAGTATTTCGTTTCTCAATTTGCAAATTTTTCCACTGCTCTAAGACATGTAGTAAAATGATTGTTGGGGTTTTTTGTTTTGTTCTGTTTTGTTTTTACTTTTTTTTTTTAATGTGTTACGTTAGTCACCATAAAATACAAGTTCCTTTCTAGTTGGGAAAATTAGACATTCACAACAAATATTTAAAAACAAAGAAAAAGAAAAATACATACCAAAGCTTTATCCACCACAATATGCATTTCCACATAAAGAGGAATTAAATCTGGAACAGCTGATTCTGACTAGAAAAAAGAAAAAAAGCACTTAAAAGCATATAAAACTTTCATAAATTGTTTATTCTGAACCTTTAAAATCATTTTTCCACTTTATAGAGGTATAACTGACAAAAATTATATGTATTTAAAGAATAAGACTAGATGTTTTGATATATATACATAGTAAAATAATTGTCATAATCAGGCTAATTAACATATCCACCTCACAGAGTGACCATTTTCCTTTTGTGTGCATGATAAGAACGCCCAAGATCAATACTCAGCAAATTTCAAGTTTACAATACACTATCATTAACTATAGTCATATAATACACTATCACTAACTATAGTCATTATACTATATGTTTAATCCCCAAAAGTTACTTATCCTACATAACTGAAACTTTGTACCATTTGACCAAAATTTCCCCATTTCTCTTTGTCCTCAGCTCCTGGCAACTATCATTTTACTCTTTGCTTCTAGGAGTTTTACTATTTTAAGATTCTACACATACGTGAAATCATGTTGTATTTGTCTTTCTGTGTGTGGCTTATTTCACTTAGCATTACAGCCTTCAGGTTCATCCATGTTGTCAGAAATGGGAAGATTTCCTTCTTTTTGAAGGCTGAATATTCCACTCTATGTATGTATGTATGTATGTATGTGTGTATGTATGTGTATACACATATGTGCATATATATACACATATATATATAATAAATATATATATTCTCAAGATACACAAGTACAAGTGTCTCTTCAAGATACTAATTTCATTTCCTATGGATATATATCCACAAGTAAAATTTCTGGATGATAGGTAGTTCAATTTTTAACTTTTTGAGGAAACTCCATATTCTTTTCCGCAGTGGCTATAACAATTTGCATTCCCACTAACAGGGCACAAATGTTCCCTTTTCTCTACAGCCTCACCAATAATTGTTATCTTTTATCTTTTTGGTAAAGGCCATCCTAATAGGTGTGAGGTGATATTTCATTGTGGTTTTGATTTGCATTTCCTTGATGATTAGTATTGTTGAACACCTCTTCATATACCTGATGGCCATCTGTATGCCTTCTTTAGAAAAATGTCTATTCATGTCCTTTGCCATTTTTAAATCATTTTAAATCTCATTATTTATTTTTGTTATGGAATTTTGTGAGTTTCTTACATATATCAGATATTAACCTCTTTTTGAGTATATGAGTATATGATTTGCAAGAATTTTCTCTCATTCAGTAGGTTGCCTTTCCATTTTGTTGAAGAGCAAAGGGTTTGAGTTCCACGTTAGGTATTCCCTGCACTGGGGACCTACAGTGGAAAGACAAACCCTCATAATATATGGCTTTAAAAATCAGCAGGGTTTAATTTGAGGAGTATTAGAGGGCTACAGTAAACTGAACTGTGCTTTTAAAGAGCCTATGCACATATTCACTCACTCGGAGGCTCAGCACAGAAGCAGCTGTTTGAAAAGTACCTAGAACATAGGTGAAGATTAGTAACTAATTTTAGGGCCAATGTCAGAAGGATAGAGATTTGTAAAAACTTTCTCTGAGAACAGAAAGGCTAGTATGAGCTATTTTTCTCACCCTCCTTCTGCCAAGCTGGCCCAACACTGGTGGGTACCAATTCTGACACTTTCCATCTACCTTGTTAGCACTGCACACCAGAGTTCCCTTGAGGACTGGCTCTGTCTAACCACCCCCCCCCCCACACTCTGGCAGGTACTCCTCCAAGGTGGTCCTGTTCTATCACACCCTGCAGGCATATCTGGCCAAGACCAACTGCTCCCAAAGTGGCTACCAACTAAACACACCTAGTAGATACCCTTGGCCAGGACAAGGCCTTCCGAAGCAGATCTTGTCTTATGGGGAGGCCAGGGGGCAGCCCTGCCCACCAATGCATCAGCAAGAGTCGTGATTTGGCTTGAAACCAACCACAACAAGGGCTAGCCCTGCCCATGAAACCACACACAGCGGTTGTGGCATAGTCACAATAGAAGGGCACACATATCTCAAATAGGGGACAACCCTGGAATGCCTCATTCTGGTAATGAGGGAAATAGTGCTCTGTGCCTCACAGAATACCCTCTATATAAGGCTATACCTTCAAAATCAGCCATAGCTGATCTACCTAATACACAGACAGAAACAGGCAAAATGAGGAGACAGAAGTTTGAAATGAAAGAATAAGACAAATCTTGAGAAAGAACTAAACAAAATGGAGATAAGCAATCTCTCTGACAGAGTTCAAATTAATAGTCACAAATCTGATAACTAAACTTGGAGAAGACTGGATGAACACAAAGAACTTCAACAAAGAGATATAAAATGCTTAAAATCAACCAGAGGTGAAGAATACAATACCTGAATGAAAAATACACTTGAGAAAATCAACAGCAGAGTAGAGGATACAGAAGAATGGATCGGTGATCCAGAAGACAGGGTAACGGAAAGCACTCAAGCTGACCAGAAAAAAGAAAAAAAGAGTTTTAAGAAGGAGGATAATTTAAGGGACTTCTAGGACAACATCAAGCATACTAACATTCTTATTATAGGTGTTCCACAAATGGGAGAGAAAAGAAACAAGCAGAATACTTACCTGAATATGGAATAGCTGAAAACACCCCTTATCAGAAAAAGGAAATGACATCCAGGTTCTGGAAGGACAGAGAGGACCAAACAAGATGAACTCAAGAAAATCTACAGCAAGATAATTACTAAAACATCAAAAAATAAAGATAAAGAGAGAATCTTAAGAGTAGCAAGAGAAGAGTAACTAGTTACATACAAAGGAACACCCATAAACCCATCAGATGATTTTTCAACAGAAACTTTTCAGGCCAGAAGGGATTGTCATGATATATTCAAAGTGCTGAATGGAAAAAACCTACAAACAAGAATACTCTACCCAGCAGGGCTTTCATTAGAATTGAAGGAGAGATAAACAGTTTCCCAGACAAAGGTTAAAGAGGTTCATTACACTAAACCAACCTTATAAGAAATGTCAAAGGGATTTATTTAAGTAGATAAAAAAAAGTCATATCTAGAAGTAAGAAAATTATTAAAGTAAATTCTCACTGGGAAAATAAACATAGAGTGAAGGTAGTGGACCACATTTATAAAGTTAGTATGAAGGTGAAAAGACAAAAACAGTAAAATCAACTATATCTACAGTAATTAGTTAAGCAAAAATAAAAGATGAAACTATGAAATAAAATATATAGAACATGGAGGGGGAATAAATATGTAGGTGCTTTTAGAATGTATTCAAAATAAAGAGATCATCGGGGCGCCTGGGTGGCTCAGTGGGTTAAGCCGCTGCCTTCGGCTCAGGTCATGATCCCAGGTCCTGGGTTCGAGCCCCACATCGGGCTTTCTGCTCAGCAGGGAGCCTGCTTTCTCCTCTCTCTCTGCCTGCTTCTCTGCCTACTTGTGATTTCTCTCTGTCAAATAAATAAATAAAATCTTTAAAAAAAAAAAATAAAGAGATCATCAACGTTAAAAAGATGGTTATATAGGGACACCTGGGGAGCTCAGCTGGTTAAGCAGCAGCCTTCGGCTCAGCCCATAATCCCAGGGTCGTGGGATCAAGCCTTGCATCAGGCTCTCCACTCAGCAGTGCTTGTGCTTTCCCTCTCTTGCTCTCTCTCCCTCTCTGTCAAATAAACAAAATCTTTTAAAAAAATGAATAAAAAGTAAAAAGATGGCTATATACATAGGTTGTTGTATATGAACCTCATGGTATCACAAACCAAAAACCTATAATAGATACTAAATAATATAAGGATAAAAGAATCCATGCATAACAGAAAAAAGTCATCAAATCACACAGGTAGGAGAGCAATAGAAGGAACAAAGAAGAACAAAAAATCAACCAGAAAACAATTAATAAAATGTCAGTCAGTACACACCTACCAATAATAATCTTAAATGTAAGTGGACTAAATACTGCAATCAAAAGGCATAGGATAAGATACTGGATTTTAAAAAAACAAGACCCATATATGCTGTCCATAAAAGACTAATTTGAGGCCTAAAGATAGATACAGACTGAAAGTGAAAAAGATAGAAAAAGATAGTCCATGAAGAAAAAAAAAACTGCAACATTTTCTTACACGATACACAAAAGTAGACTCAAAATGGATGAAACAGCTAAATGTGAGACAGGAATCCATCAAAATCCTAGAGTGGAACACAGGCTGCAACTTCTTAGACCTCAGCCACAGCAATTTCTCACTAAACACCTCTCCAAAGGCAAGAAAAATAAAAACAAAGACAAACTATTGTGATTTCATCAAGATAAAAAGCTTCTGCACCCAAAGGAAACAGTCAACAAAGCTAAAATGCAACCTACAGATATGGAGAAGATATCTGCAAATGTCTTATCAGATAAAATCTATAAAGAACTTATCAAACTCAAAACCCAAAGAACAAAAATCCAGTGAAGAAATGGACAGAAGACATGAACAGATATTTCTCCAAAGAAGACATACAAATGGCCAACGGACATATGAAACAATGCTCAACATCACTTGGCATCAGGGAAATACAAATCAAAACCACAGTAGGATACCACTTCATACCTGTCAGAATGGCTAAAATGAACACCTCAGGAAACAAGAGATGTTGATGAGCATGCCAAGAATGGGAACCTTCTTAGTGTTGGTGGGAATGCAAACTGGTGCAGCCATTCCAGAAAACAGTATGGAGGTTCCTCAAAAAGTTAAAAATAGACTACCCTATGACCCAGCAATTGCATCCAAAGGATAAAAAAATACTGATTCAAAGGGGCACACACACCCCAATGTTTATAACAGCAATGTCCACAACAGCCAAAGCATGGAAAGAACCCAGATTTACATCAACAGATGAATGGATAAAGAAGATGTGGTGTGTACACACACACACACACACACACACACACACACACACAAATGGAACACTACTCAGCCATCAAAAAGAATGAAATCTTGCCATTTGCAATGACATGGATGGAACTAGAGAGTATTATGCTAAGCAAAATAAGTCAGTCAGAGAAAAACACCACATGATCTCACTCATATGTGGGGAATTTAAGAAATAAAACAGAGGAACATAGGGGAAGGGAAGGAAACACAAACTAAGATAAAAATAGAGAAGAAGGCAAACCATAAAATACTCTTAACTATAAACAGAGGGTTTCTGAGGTGAGATGGGTGGGATGAAGGGGTAATTGGGTGATGGGCATTAAGGGGATGGCACTTGATGAAATGAGCACTGGGTGTTATATGCAACTGATGAGTCACTAAATTCCACCCCAGTAACTAATAAAAAAAAAATCCTTCCGAATCAAAAGAAGATATGCTGAGCTTTAGATGCAGAAAGAATAAAATTTGACTACAGCTGGAAAAAAAATACTGGCATTTAAATAACTTCCAGGAATACAGACACAAAAGCAGGAATTCAGTTTATTACATTTATGTTGAATATACACTAATTTTTAGAAAGTTATAAGTATGTAACAAAATAAGATTAAGAATAAAAATTTATCATAAAAAAGTAGATGATCAATTGATGCAAGAAGACCATATATGGTTCAAAGGAAATGGTAACATTAAAAAAAGATAAGGCTGTTCTGAAGGAAAGAATTATTTGTTACAGTTACATGTACGTTCTTATAATTTTCTTATACATAAATTAAGTAAGGACAATAATTGCCCTGAAAATAGTAATAAAACATACACAAACTCACCTTTTCACTTACAAAAATGTTATAGTCCCCTGGCTTTTGTTCTGTGCCTTGGTTATCTTCACTAAGATCTTCAAATTCACTATTTCCACTCTTTAATTTATAAAGAAGATGTTGAAATTCAACTGCAGATTCCAGAGGCTCGATTCCATAAGAAACATTTTCAAACTGCAGTATTCCTCTGTAGAATTAAGACTAAAATTGTAAGTGCTTTTAATCAAATCTCTATTATCAAACTCTGACAGAATCCAAAAGGAGGAGGAGGAAGTGGAGGATAAAGAACATTTTTGAGCTCTGTATTTTGACCCTAACTCTTGACATTATGGAGATAATTCTGAAGAGACAAAAGATCTCCTGCAATCCACAAAATCAGCTTTCCATTTGATTCTCTCTATAGATATAAAAGCAGCAGAAATTATATAATCAGTTGTGAGGTGTATAAGTATACAGCATTACAGTGATTAAGGAATTCCCTGTTCTCCAAGTCAGTGAAATGAAAGCAATAGTAAATAGAAATCTTAATGAATTTATCACTGGCTGGCACTGCTTCTAAAAAATGATTAATGGATAAGGAAGATGTGGTCCATATATACAATGGAATGAATAGATTCAGAATAGAATAGAATGAATAGAATTCAGAAAGGATGAATACCCAGGCTTTGCATCAACATGGATGGGACTGGGGAGATTATGCTAAGTAAAGTAAGTCAAGCAGAGAAAGTAAGTTATCATATGGTTTCCCTTATTTGTGGAACATAAGGAATAGCATGGAGGACATTAGGAAAAGGAAGAGAAAAATGAAGGGGGGTGGATCTCGGAGGGGTAGATGAATCATAAAAGACTATGGACTCTGAGAAACAAAATAAGGGTTTTAGAGGGAAGGAGGTGTGGGAAAATCTTAGCCCAGTGATGGGTATTAAGGAGGACACAGATTGCATGGAGCACGGGGTATTATACACAAACAATAAATTGTGGAACACTACATCAAAAACTAATGATGTACTATATGGTGACTAACATAACACAATTTAAAAAAAAGAAAAATGCGGGCACCTGGGTGGCTCAGTGGGTTAAAGCCTCTGCCTTTGGCTCAGGCCATTATCCCAGGGTCCTGGGATCGAGCCCCACATCGGGCTCTCTGCTCAGCAGGGAGCCTACTTCCCACGCCACCCCCGACCCCCCTGCCTGCCTCTCTACCTACTTGTGATCTCGGTCTGTCAAACAAATAAATAAATTATTTTTAAAAAAAGAGAAAGAAAGAAAAAGAAAAATGATCACATTGCCTATATAACAAAAGTATATGTAATAAGTTAAGTTTTATTTATAAAAATAAAAATTTAGCATTAATTATGAAAAGGCATTATTAATCTTTTTTATGCATATAGTCTGAATAAGAAATTAAAAGCAAGATTTTAAAGAGTAAACAACTTTTATAACTATTCTCTGGCTCTGGCTCTTGTTCAAGTGGCTATTTCCCAAAAACCATAGGGTTCCACATAACAAGCAAAAGGAACAGTTATTTGTTTGTTAACATAAGGATCCTATATTATAAAAATAAAGATGAAGAATTTCCTGACAGAGTGGAAAACTCTAGGCACTAAGGAAGAAACTCTTTAATTGTTAACATTTAAGACAGTGATATTATTAGAAAAATATGAATACTATATTAGTAATTATTTGCTTATATAGAATTTGCCTCCTCTTCCTGAAGGTGATTTTCCTTGAGAAAAAGTATGCCTTGTTTGGTTTTGTTTTTTTTTTTTTAATCATTTTTTTTTTCATTTTCAGCATAACAGTATTCATTGTTTTTGTACCACACCCAGTGCTCCATGCAGTCCATGCCCTCTCTAATACCCACTACCTGGTTCCCCCAACCTCCCACCCCCACCACCTCTTCAAACCCTTC